AACTAGCCCAGCGGCCGCCAGTTGGCGCCCAGCCGCTGCCCCACTCTGACGCCCCTGATGGCGTTCTCGTCGGCGGCAGGCGGCGCCTGGCACTGCTGCAGCTCCTGCTGTGGGGAGCGGGCTGCCGCCACCTCGACCACGACTGGGTCGCCGTTCTCGTCCTTCATGACCTTGACGGCTCCCTCTGAGCTGTCCGTGGCTGCGCCTCCAGACGACAGGGCCAGCCTCCTCTGGCCTGGCGGCGGCGGCTCCGCAAACGCCTTGGCTGGAGACTTGGCGGCCTTGCCTGCGCTCGCGCTCTTCTGGCTGGTGGGCAGCCCCCCTCCACCTGGAACGGGGATGCCCTCCGCCCCTGCGGCCCGCGGTGGCTGGCCTTGGAGGGGCTGCCCATTGAGCGCCGCAAGGATCTGCCCCAGCGTGTCATGCATGGACCCCATCTGTGTCTCCAGCTTCGCCACGCGGTTCTGATCTTGGGCCGCGCCCGTGTGTGACTATGCTGGCCTCACTGGCATCTGCTGCTGCCCTGACGAGCCTCCTCCGTAGGCGTCGTCGTCCGCGCCCTCGATCTCCTCGTCGCTGTCGTCCGGCACCGCCGCGTCCCTGGCGAACTTGTGCGCGGCTGGCTCCGCAGCGGCGGGGGCTCCGCCCTCTGGCGGGTAGGCGCACCAGTGTTCAAGCTGAGCCATCTGCGCCATGAACTCCTGCGCGTGCTGGTACTCCTTCAGGGCCTTGGCCGTCTCCGCCCTGTACGCCTCCGCCGCCAGCTCCGCGGCGAACTGGGCGCCCTTGGCGGCCGTCAGCGCTTTCTTGGCCTTGTTGACGAACTGCTCCTGCTTCTCCATGCGCGTGGTCGGGTCCTTAGCTAGGATGACCTGGCAGTGGAACGCAGCGTACTCGTTCTCCGCCTGCTTGAGGCGCTGCGGGGAGACCTGCTCCGGCGGCATGCTGCGGATCGCCCTCACCGCCTCTGCCGCCGCCACCATCGCCTTGCGCAAGGACTCCCTGTGGCGCTTGAGTCCTGCGGCGATCGGCGGGGCGGTCAGCCAGCTGGGGTGATGCTGCGCCTGCTTCGGCAGCATGGGCAAGATGCCGATGTTGCCCGAGGCCGCTGGCACTCCAGCACCTGCATATCCGTGGTCTCCTGCCGCAGTTCCTCGCCTGTGACCTCCTCTATCTGCCGAGGCAGAGCGCTTCCTCCAGGGGGCTCGGCCTTGTCCTTCTGGCCTCCACCTCCTCCCCCATCGGGCGCTCCGCAGCCTCTGCATGTCGCTCTCGACGCAAAGTTGTCCTGGCTGCACCTCACGGAAGAGCAGCGCCAGTATGACGTATGGCCTGTCGAACGTGACGATGCACGACCCCCTAGCGCCATCCTGCCGCTGCTGTGGTGCCTGTCCAGTAGGCCTGCCGCCGCGCCAAGCCGCAGGAGCACGCGTGCGTTGGCACGCTCCTTGCGGCGGCGGCGGCGCCAGGCCGGATCCCGATCGGGGCCGCGCGGCGCGGCGGCGCCCGTGGTCGCGCGACCGCGGAGGAGGAGATAGGGAGGAGGAGGAGGAGGAGGAGGAGGAGGAGGAGGAGGAGGAGGAGGGGAGGGGGAGGAGCAGCAGCAGCGAGGGGCAGGGACACTCGGGAGAAGGAGGAAAAGGAGAAGCAGGAGACGGAGCTGCGAGGGGCAGAAGAAAGAGGAAGGAGTGCGGCGTCGTCGTCGTCGACGCCACCGCCGCCGCCGCCACCGCCACCGCCGCCGTCGTCGTCGTCGTCGTCGTCGTCGTCGTAAAGAGGATAGGAAGGAAGGAGGAAAGGAGGACAGGAGGAACGAAGGAGGCAGGATGCAGGGAAGGAGGAAGCAGGAGAGGAGGAGGAGGAGAAGGAGGAGGAGGAGGAGGAGGAGGAGGAGGGAGGGGAGCCCCCCCTCCCCGAAATTCCCGACTGGGCGCAGGCGTGGCGCCCGACTGCACCACAGGCTGGCCACGGCGGCCCAGGGCCAGTCTCGGGCGCTCTCAGGTGAGCTTCTCTGCGGCGGCGCCCGCGGCGGGTGACGCCCCCTCGATGCGGGGACAGCAGGCGACAACAACAAGACCGAGGACACACTCTGGGAGATGTCTTGCGCATACAGACGGTTCGGGGGTTGCTGGAAAGGTGCCCCTGGCCCCAGGTGCCACCGGCTTTTCGTTCGGTTTGGGACACCCTGGGGCTCTCGGCCTCGCGAGGGGCGCTCTGGAGGCCGCGGGGACCTCCTTGGAAATCCCAGGGGTCCCTTGGGCCAGGGGCACTCCTGGCAACACCCGGAGAAATGGTCGGGACACTGAGCCCAGCCTCGTACTTCCGATCCCCATCCCTAGCGGCGTGGGCTGGGCCCCACTGGCCGATTTACCCCCCTAGATGGGGATATAGGCCGTTCCATTCGAGTTTCGAGGGGTGCATCCCCAACTGGGGTGGTAATTTCGAAGGGGATGGGGATGGGGATGAAGACTTGTTAAGCAATACCGAGCTGTGGTCGATGTGGCGTCCCAGGACGGCCACATCGACCACAGCCACAACCAAAGAGCGCACGTCGAGGTCGGTGGCCTCTCCCCCGAGTGACCCTCCCGGGGTGAGTTTCTCCGCGGCGCCGCTCGCGGCGGGTGGTGGCCCCCTCCAAGGATGAGGCGAAGACCAGAGACTCCCTCGAGTCATGAAAAAAATCAAGACGAAACAAGGGCTCCAAACTTCGCGCTTCGCGCTGCGCGAAGCGCGAAGTGCGAATAACTTCGCGCTCTCGCGCCGCCTCCCAAGGGAGAAGAGGAGGAAGAGGAGGAATCCGAGCCGAACCGCGAAGCGCGAAGCGCGAATAACTTCGCGCCCTCGAGGGCGCCCTTGACGAAAGGTGTTTCGCCATGTTCGGCCTCTGGGGGCCCTTGCCAGGCCTCGGGAGCGTCACAAAGCGGCTCGGGATGAAAGACCAGTCCCGGGGCATGATTCGAGACCTCTGGCGGTAAGACGAGGCCAGAACGAAGACAACTTCGGACGAGAATAAATCGAGAATCTCTGAGATCCGGCAGCTCTGGAGGATGCCTTAGGCGCCGCGGCCTTCTTAGAGCGTTCCGGGAAGCTCTGAGGGCGTTCCAGAACGCTCTGGAACGAATTCATCTTCGTCCTAGCCTCGACCAGGGAGGCAGGATCGGTCAGCATCGAATCGGCAAATCGAGCCGAATCGACAGGTGCATCGGATAGGGCTGCATCGGCACAGGATCGAGATAGAATCGGATCGGCTGCGCCAGGATGCACAACAGCGCCATGCAGGGATCGGGCAGCATCGGATCGTCGGAAGGTCGGAATCGAATCAGATCGGACCAGCCGGAATCTAATCGGATCGATCGGATCGAAATTGACCCCAGGAGTAGGGACGCGACCTGGGATTGGCGGGCGCTTTGCTTTCATTGTAGATCTATATATATATATATATATGTATGTGTGAAAACAACAACAACAACAACAACAATCATTTTACCCGAACGCTCAGTGTTCTCCCCAGTGCCAGGGTTTTCATGCGACGCCAGCCAATACCCCCACTTCGTGGGGGGGCAATGCAAGCTCTACCAAACATCCACACGACTCTCGGGAACCCCCCACACCCAGCTTCCCGCCCTATGACGTCAGGACACTTCACTTCGTGGCGCGCGGACGATCGTGGATACTACACTGGCGTGGAGTACACACCCGCAGAGGTTAATCACTTGTTTGGGCCCCGCATGTGCCCCGCATCGTGCTTTTGTTGCGCATGATATGAGAGCAAGACAGAGAGAGAGAGAGAGCAAGACAGAGAGACAGAGAGAGAGAGAGAGAGAGAGCAAGACAGAGAGCCAGAGGAGAGCTACGGTGCGATTCGTGTGATTTTATGATGCGCGGTGCTAACATTCTTAAAAACCCAATGGTTTTTGTAGATTTCGGCGTGCGCGCGCGAAGAAAAAAACGAATGTGTCCCGCATGGTATTATTTGACAGGGATGATGGCCCTGGCAGGTGCGCAACCGTTGTCGCAGAAGTTTGAAAAAGTTGCTCGCAAAAGCCCGTTTGACAAAATTGTTTAAAAAGTGTTGGTTTGCCTACGAATCCGCAAGAGCGCGCGGAAGGACATTTTGACAATTTTTTATTAAAAAAAACCATTGGGTTTTTGATGTTTTTATGTTAAAATGGTTACGAAACCTAAGGTTTTGGAAGGATTTCGTCTTGCGCGCACGAATGTCCACTTTACCTTATTTTTTGCAAGGGATTCTTGCAATTTGATCAAGTAAGAACAAGAATGTTCATTTTATAGTGTTTTTTGCAAGGGAAAACGGATTACAACAAAACAACCGGATCTGGACCCCATCCACTTTTCTGAAGCTTTCGCGAAAAAAAATGATGAAAATGTAGCTGCGGCCTAGGCGCGGCGGGGGGGCCGTGCACCAGGGGTCCCAACAATAATTATTCTTTAGAATTAATAATGTTCAACAACAACAACAACAACAACAACAACAACAACAACAATCATTTTACCCGAACGCGCGGTGTTCTCCCCAGTGCCAGGGTTTTCATACGACACCAGGCAATACCCCCACTTCGTGGGGGGGCATTACAAGCTCTACCAAATATCCAAACGACTCTTCGCGACCACCCAAACCCAGCTTCCCGCCCTATGACGTTGGGACACTTCACTTCGTGGCGTGCGGACGACCGTGACTACTACACTGGCTACTACGACGAATGTGTCCCGCATGGTATTATTTGACAGGGATGATGGCCCTGGCAGGTGCGCAACCGTTGTCGCAGAAGTTCGAAAAAGTTGCTCGCAAAAGCCCGTTTGACAGAAATGTTTAAAAAGTGTTGGTTTTCCTACGAATCCGCAAGAGCGCGCGGGATGAGATTTTGACATTTTTTTGTTGAAAAACCATGGTTTTTTTGATGTTTTTATGTTAAAATCGCTCCGAACACTAAGCTTTTGGAAGGATTTCGTCTTGCGCGCGCGAATGTCCACTTTACATTATTTTTTGCAAGGGATTCTTGAAATTTGATTATATTAGAACAAGAAATGTCATTTTATAGTGTTTTTTTGCAAGGGAAAACGGATTACAACAAAACAAACGGATCTTGATGACATCGTATTACCTGAGGCTTCCTCACGAAAATGATGAAAATGTAGCTGCGGCCTAGGCGGCGCAGGGGGGCCGTGCACCAGGGGTCCCAACAATAATTATTCTTTAGAATTTATAATGTTTAAAAAAAAAAAAAAAAAAAAAAAAAAAAAAAAAAAAAAACCCCACACAACCCAAAAAACAACAGAAGCAGCAACAACAACAACAACAGCAACAACAACAACAACCACAACCACAACAACAACAACAACAACAACAACAACAACAACAACAACAACAACAACAACAACAACAACGACAACACAACGTAAACATAAAATGTCAGAAATCCGCGCACATTTCTCGAATCGGTTCTGAACCCCGCCCCCCCGTGGCGGCGCCTCTGGCGCCGATCCAAGAAATCCTCCCGGACATCCGAAACGTGTTGTCTATGCACTTTCTCTTCTATGTAAACCCCTGAACACCCCTGGAGACTCCCTCCTCTGTGTTCGGGTCAGGGTTCCCCCGCCCCCGGACCCCCAGCAGCATCAGGAGGCTGCCGAAGTGGAACCGCAGCGACGGGCCGACGATCAGGTTGGCCAAGTAACCGATGCCGGGCATGGTGCCCTCGCCGCAGGGAGGGCAGTTCCGTCAGTCCTTAGCTCGCCAGCGCTCGGACGTCCTTTCCCCGTGCATGTTCGGCTTCGGGCGCGTGTTTCTTCGCAAGATGGCCCAGAATGCTCCTCGATGGCCATCGCCGAACAAAACAACAACAACAAAACGCGTCCGAGCGATGCCAAGTTAGAGGGGTTCTCGCCTCGGGGTGCTTTCTAGCAGCTGCGTCTCGTCCAAAGAGCTTTGGGGGCGAACGAGTCGTCCCGATCGGCTGCAGGAGGTGCGAAAACAAAAAACGCTGCGGCTGCTTTGCCACAAGTAACCCCGTGTCGGTTGCTGACTTGTGTTAACAATACATGTTCGCTGGAAGAGGATGTACATGATCAAGACAACAAGAAAGATGATGAGAGGAGAGACCGCGACTCACCGCAAGTTCGGCGCTCCATCTGCGCTGTATATATATATAGACAAACAGGCAGACAGACGGACAAACAGACATACGTGCGTGCGTGCGTGCGTGCGTACGTACGCACATACAGACATACAAACACACACACACACACACACGCGCGCATACATACATGCATGCATACAGATATACACATCTAGATCTGTAACTGTATACATGCGCGCATATACATATACAGGTACATAGGGAATCCAAACCGTTCCACCACCTACCTGCAGGGGCGACGGGTGGAGCCACGTTGGTGCCGAAATTCTCAGCGCAAGCCAGACAGGTGAATAGACAAAAGGAGCACGGGAGCGGAAGACGTGACCACCACCGCAGACTACTACGACTAATACGACGACGACTACTACTACTACTACTACGACAACGACGAACACGAAGACTACGACTACAACGACTACGACTGCTATTACTACTACTCCTACTACTCCTACTACTACTACTACTACTACTACTACTGATACTACTACTACTACTACTACTACTACGACAGCGACTACTACTACGACTACTACTACTACTACCACTACTACTACTACTACTACTACTACTACTACTACTAATACTACTACTACTATCACTAGCACTACTACTACTACTACTACTACTACGACTACTACTACTACTACTACTACTACTACTACTCCTACTACTACTACTACTACTACTACGACTACTACATACTACGACTTACCTACATACGACGGACGACTACGACTACTATTATTGTTACTACTACTACTACGACTACTACTACATTACTAACTACTACATACTACTACTACTACTCCTATACGTGACTACTAGTTATCTGACTACGACTACTGACTTACTAATACTTACCCAGAAAGACTTTAAACTACTACTATACTACTACTTAATAATACTACTACTACGGTACTACTTAATACTACTACTACTACTCTTTTTACGGCTACTATACTCCTTATTAATACTACTTACTAATACTACTACTACTACTACTACTACTAATTTAATACCTACTATACATACTACACTACTAATACAAAACTACTACTACTACTACTACTACGTCAATTACTCCGACAACGACGGCGACACGACTTGCGAATACCCACTACTATTTCTACAACCTCTGCTACTACTACTACTACTACTACTACTACAAACTACTACTACTACGACTGACTTACACTTACAACTACTAAAAAAACTTTACACTACTATATTCAAAAAAATACTGCTACTACTACTACGACTACTACTACTACGACTACTACTACGACGAGCACGGCCACGATTACTACGACTACGACTACTACTTCTACGACCACGACTACTACTAGGACTACGACTACTACTACCAATACGACCACTAAGACGAGGACTACTACTACGCATACACTGCCACTGCTACTCCTGCTACTACTGCTACTACTACTAACACTATTAGTACTACGACTATTACTGCAAGTACGACTACGCACACCACTCCTACTACAACTACGACTACTACCACGACTGGTACTACTACGACTACTACTGATACTACTTGTGTTAGCACTCCAACGACAACTGCTACTTTGCTCTCAATAACCAACTACCACGACGGGTACTACCAGTAGTACGATTACTACTACTACTACTACTACTACTACTACTACTACTATTACTAGTACGACTGCGCCCACTGCTGCTACTACTACTACCACTACTACGGTTACTACTACTACTACCACCACTACGACCACTGCTGCTACTACTACCACTACGACTGCTACTACGCCTCGTACTGCGACCGCTACTACTACGACGGCGACGACGGCAACCACGACTAATACTACTACTACTACTACGACTACTACTACTACTACTACTACTACTAGTACTACTACTACCACTACTACTACTACTTATACTACTACTTCTACGCCTACTACGTCTACTCTATCCCGACTAGTGCTACTACTAAACCTACTACGACTACTTCTAATACTACTAAAACTACTACTACAGCTACGGCTACTACGATCACAGCTACTACTGCAACTACGACTACTCCTACGACTACGGCGGCTACTACGACTACGACCACGACTACTACTTCTACTACTTCTACTACTACTACTACTACTACTACTACTACTACTTCTGCTTCGACTGCGACTGCCCCTACTACTACTACTACGACTACGACTACTACTACTACTACTACTACTACTACTACTACTACTACTACTACTACTTCTACTACCACAACTACTACGACTACTACTACAACTACCCGTAATTCTACTACCCCGGATTAAACGGCGGCTACAGACAGAACTACGATTACTACTACTACTACTACTACTACTTCTACGCCTACTGGTATTCCTGCGAATACGATTACTACTACTACTAGTATTACTACTGCTACTACTACAACAACAACTAGTACTACTACTACTACTACTACTACTACTACTACTACTACTACTACTACTACTACGACTACTACTACTACTCTACTACTACTACTACTACTACGACTCTACTACTACTACTACTACTACTACTACTACTACTACTACTACTACTACTACTACTACTACTCTTACTACTACGGCTACTATTACTTACTACTACTAACTTACTTACTTACTACTATAATACTACTCCTACTCTATCACTAATACTTACTACTGACTAATACTTACTACAACTACTACTGCTTACTAACTGCGACTACACTACCACTACTCATACGACTACGACTACTACTGCAACTGTAACTACGACGGCTACTACCACCACCACACCACCACCACCACCACCACCACCACTACTACTACTACTACTACTACTACCACTACTACGACTACTACTACTATAGCTACTACAACTACGAGTACTACTACTACTACTACTACTACTACTACTGCGACTACTACTTCTACTACTACTACTACTACTACTACGACGACTACTACTACTACTACTACTATTACTACTACTACTACTACTACTACTACTACGGCTACTACGACCACTACGGCTACGACTACAACTACTACTAGTACGACTACGACCACGACTACGCCTACTCGTACCACTACTGGGACCACCGCTACCACGACCACCTTTACTACGACGGCTACGACTACTGCTACTACTACTACTACTACTAAACCACAACTACGACTAATGCTAATCACTAAAACTGCTACGGCCACTACTATAACGGCTACTACTACGACGACTACTAACACTACTACTACTACTACTACTACTACTACTACTACTACTACTACTGTTGCTACTACTACTACTGCTAATACTACTACTATTACTACAACTACTACGACTGCTACTACTACTACTACTACTACTACTACTACTACTACTAATACTACTATTACTACTACTATTACTACTACTACTACTACACTACTACTATCACTACTACTACGGACTCCTACTACTACTCTGACTACACTTCTACTACTATAACCACTGATATAACCACTACTACACTTACTACTACTAATAATACTACATACTACTACTACTTATACTCTACTGCTCTCACACTACTGCTACGACTGCTACTACGACTTATACTACGACTACTACTACTACTTAATACTACTTCAACAACCAGTCTAGATTACACTACTACTACACTACTACGACTATTACTGCGATACTACTACTACTACTACTGCTAACTACGACGGCCACTACTACTACTACTACTACTTACTGCTGCTGCTGCTACTACTACTACTACACTTCTACTTCTCCTTCCACTCTACGACTACTGACTGCCACTTACTGCGGCTACTACTACGACTACATACTACTACGATCGGCTGTCATTTAACTAATACTAACACTACTTAAACAACTGATGCAATTCATACTCGTACACAACATAGTATTAGCACGACTACGACTACTACTACCAGTTCCACGACTATACTAATACTGCTATTACTACTACTACAACTACTACCACTACCACTTAACCAACTACTACTACTACTACTACGACTACTAATACGATACGACTACTACGACTACTACTACTACTACTAATTAAGTATCACTACTACTACTACTACACTACTACTACTAATACCACTACTACTGCGAATACGCTACGACGACTAATTCAAATACTATACTACTACTACTACTATGCCACTACTGTTACTACCACTACTACTACTACTACTACTAGACTAGTCTACTACACTACTAAATTACTACTACTACTACTACTACTACTACGACGACGAACACTACTAACTACTACTATATTACGACTGCCTGCACCCTACTACTACTACTACTACTACTGAATACTAATGCTACTACGACTACTACTACGACTACTACTACCACTACTACTACCACTACGACTACTACGACTACTACGACTACGACTACTACACTACTACTACTACTACTACTACTACTACTACTACTACTACTACTACTACTACTACTACTACTACTACTACTACTGCGACTACTACTAGCACCACGAGTGCCACTACTAAAACTACTACTCTACTACGGGACTACGATAACCACTACTACTACTACTCCTACTACTACTACTACTACTACTACTGCTACTACTACTACTACGGCTACTAATACTACTACTACTACTACTACTACTACTACTACTACTACTACTACTACTACTACTACTATTACTATGACTACCTACTGCTACAACTACGACTACGACTACGACTACGACTACGACTACGACTACGACTACGACTACTACTACAACTGCTACTACTGCTACTACTACTACGACTACTACTACGACTACTACTACTACTACTACTACTACTACTACGACTACGACTGCTGCTGCTACTACTGCTACTGCTATTACTACTACTACTCGTCCGCACCGTCCTCCTCCTCTTCCTCCTGCTCCTCCTCCTTATCAGCATCCCCTCCATTATCATCATCAGCATCATCATCATCAGCAGCATCAGCATCAGCAGCATCAGCAGCATCATCCTCATCGTCGGTATCATCATCACCACTACAACCGTCACCATCACCATCACCGTCACAAGCACTATCAGCATCTCCATCACCACCATCAGCATCACCAGTTCCATCAGCATCAGTATCATCATCAGCATCATCCTCATCATCATCAGAAGCAGCAGTAGCATCAGCAGCAGCCTCACCAGCATAAGCATCAGCACCATTCCATTCGTCATGAGAATCAACCCAAAAACCAGCAGTATCATCGTCATCATCATCATCAGCCTAATCATCATCATCATCATCATCATCATCATCATCATCATCATCATCATCATCATCATCATCATCATCATCATCATCATCATTAGCAGCATCATCATAACCCTCTTCATCGTCATAAGCATAATCCTAATCAGCATCAGTATCATCATCAGTATCATCAGTATCATCATCAGAAGCAGCATCGTCATCATCAACGTCATCATCACCATCACAATCAGCACCATCCCCATCAGCATCTACATCATCGCCATCATCAGCAGCATCACCATCGACATCATCATCAGCATTATCATCAGCTGCATCATCATGTGCATAATCATCACTGACATCGTGATCATGCTTATTACAATCAGCATCATCATCGTAATCAGCATCATCAGCATCGTCATCCTGGCCGTCATCATCAGCGTAATCATCGGCATCGCCGGCATCATCATCATTAGTATCAGCATCAGCATCAGCGTCATCATCATCATTATCATCCTCCTCATCATCAGCAGTATCATGGTCATTATCATCATCCTCATCCTCATCCTCATCCTCATCCTCCTGCCCCACCCCGCCCAAGCCTGATACCACCAGCCGTCCGCTTGGAACGCCTTCGCGGCCTTCAGTATGAGGCTGGTTAACCGCTCCAGGTCCTGGGCGTGTCCGCTGGTCCAGCCCACAGCCTTCAGTCATCGCGGTCATCGCGGTCGTCGCAGCCGCCGTTTTCATCGCCACCGTCATTGCCTGACAGTCGATGTCGTCGCCGTCGCGATCGCTGTCGTCATCGTCGTCCTCGGTCCAATCCTACTTCTGCTGCTCCTCCTCCTCCTCCTCCTCCTCCTCCTCCTCCCCCTCCTCATGCCTCCTCCTGCCCCCTCCTCCTCCTCCATCCTCCTCCGCCACCCTCCTCCTGCTCCCTCCTCCTCCTCCTCCTCCTGCTGCTCCTCCTCCTCCACCTCCTCCTCCTCTTCCTCCTCCTCCTCTGGGACCGCGGCCCGCCCGACTCGAGGCCCCCGCACCGCCCCACGCGGCCGCCCTCCAGAGGGCTGCTTCCCCCCAGACCTTCGAGGCGTCCAGGAGCCCCACCCCGCTCACCCTGGACGAGGGAAAGCGGCATGGAGCGCGCGCGTGCGACAGTCCAGGGGGGAAGAAAGCAGGAGAAAGAAAGGCATGAACAGAAACTTTCGGCAGTCCGCGCGAATTTCTTGGATCCGCGATGGACTCCCTCCCTGGCGCGTGGAGCGCACCAGGGGCGGCGCCAGAGGCGCCGCCAGGGCGCTCCAGCGCAGATCCAAGAAACCCGCGCGGAGCTCCAAAAGTTTATGTTTATGCTGTTTTTTTCTGCTTCGAGACAGGGTCGGATAGCAAAGGGCAGGGTAGAGAATCAGCCCACATAGCTGTTTTTCCTGGCGCCTCCTGGCGTCGGGAGGAGCCCATGTATCGAGGAATGGGCCCCGCGGCGGGGCCGAAACCAGCTGCATGCAGCAAGCTCGAGACAACGGAATTCGGGAAACTAAGGGAAGATACCGATAGCGGTACTCCCCGGACCCCTCCCAGGGCAATCTGACCTTGGACGCCCGAGACGGGTACGGACAAACATTGGCACCATGCCCAACAACGCATGTTGCACAAGACCAACAGCGACCGCCGTCAGGCAGGCGGCCGTCTGCCTCGGATGGACACCGTCCGCGGCGACAGCGACAGCGAGCCCTGTTCAATCGGGGGCGGCCAAAAGGGGGCGTCCAAGAGGGGGGAGTGCAAATCATGACCGGCGGCATGTGCGCGGCTCAAGTGGTGGCAAGGGACGTATTGAAATCAGAAGGGGCGCCATGCAATCTGGTGAGATGATGGCCCCTGCCATGATATCCACCCCCCTAATCATCACCCCCCTCTTTGCCGACCCCGATTCAGAATGAGCACGAACTGCTGTTGGACTCTGTACCGACTGTTTCCGCACCCAGCCGGGAGTTCGAGGCGAGCCCCGCCGCGGCGCCCAGGGGATGAAAAAATCGGCCCCCTTTCGGGCCAGAACTCTCGGGTGTTGCTAGCAGGACCCCTGGCCCAAGGCGCCCCCAGCTTCTCGCTTCATCTTGGAGCCCCTGGGGCCCTCTGGACCTCGTGAGGGGTGCCTTGGAGGCCGTTTGGGTTACCCCGAGGTTCCTGGGGGCACCTTGGCCCAGGGGCACCTCTAGCGAAACCCGAAACTCAGCTCTCCGGCGGCCGCTCGGGACGGTGCTGGCCCCCCCCCCCACAGAACGCTCTCGGCGAGGCGCCGCTCTCGCTGCTGGGGAGCACGCCCGAGGCTGGAGAAGCCGCCGAGAGCCAGCGCAGATCTGGGGAAGACCCTCGAAGCTCAAAGCCTGCCCTCCGCACGTTGCCCCCCTGAGCCTTCCCCCCCCCCGCGGTCGTTGCCTCTGGAGTGCCTCTTTGGAGTCCCGAAACGGTGCGGTGACGGTGCCGGTGCCTCGAAATCCCCCAAGACCTCACCGCACGGTCCGTCACCGCACGGTCTTGGGACCCCGGAGGCCCCTGTCGCCCGACACGCCCTCGGAGAGGGACCCGAGTCCCAAAACCGCGCGGTGACCCCCCCGAAGCCCCACCGACTCACCGCACGGTGTGGTCACCACCCCGTCTGGGGGCCCCCGGGCCTCCTCCGAGGCCGCCCTCGGCCCGGGAGCGCCGCCGAAGGGGGCTCCGAGAGCCCGAGGCGAGGGCGGCCGCCCTGCCTCTCGCCACCCGCCCCCCCTGGGCCGGCACGGGTTTCCCCCCGGGGCCGCACGGGCGACCCGAGGATCCTGCGGCCCAAGAGGCCTCCAAGACGCCCTGGACGGCCTCGCGGACGGCTTTTTGATTTGATCCCGGCAATGCCAAACTGTACAATCACTTCCGCCTCCGAGTCTTGACGACCTGGTTCTGGCGGGCCCACTGGCTGCGACCTGGAGGTTGCCCCTTGGCAACCTTCTTTAGCATCCTGGAGCCGTAATCACTAAGGTGACCTGGAGCACCCCAAGAGGGCCCCAAGTCGGCCCAGAGAGGCCCCCCAGGCGGCATCCCAGACGGCGTCCGACGGGCCAGGAGGCCGTCAAGACAGCCCAAGATGGCTCTAGGATGGCCCAAGACTGCCAAAGAGGCCCCCAAGAGGTCTCCAAGGCGACCCAAAGACGCCCCCAAGAGGGCCTCCAGGAAGGCCCGAAGAGGCCAACATCATTGATTTGCCCTGGGTTGTTGAAGGATTTTAGCATCTGCTTGTTTTCAGCCTTCCGACGGCCCAAGACGGCCCAAGAGCCCGCAAAGATCGCCCCAAAATCGCCCAAGAGGCCCACAAGATGGCCCCAAAACGGCCCGAAGACGGCCCAAGAGGCCTCCAAGACGCCCTTGATGGCATCCCAGACGGCCCTGGAGCACCCCAAGAGGGCCCCAAAACGGCCCAGAGAGGCCCCCGAGACGGCTTCCGCCGGGACGGCCAAAGAGGCCCCCAAGAGGTCTCCCAAGTCGGCCCAAGACGCCCCCAAGAGGGCCTCCAGGGAGGCCCGAAGAGGCCAACATCATTGTTTATCATTGGGTTGTGGAAGGATTTCAGCATCTGCTTCTTTTCAGCCTCCCGACGGCCCGAGACGGCCCAAGGGCCCCCAAGGATCGCCCCAAGATCACCCAAGAAGCCTCCAAGATAGCCCCAGAACGGCCCAAGAGGGCTCCAAGACGGCCCAAAAAGCATCCAAGACGCCCAAGATGCCTGAAAACGGCCCTGTAGCACCCGAAGAGGGCCCCAAGTCGGCCCAGAGAGGCCCCAAAGACGGCCACTGACAGCGTCAGACGGGCCAGGAATCCCCTAAGACTGCCAAAGGGCCCCCGAGAAGCCCCTACAGGCCCTCATGAGGTCCAAGGAGGCACCCAAGATGCCTCCAAGGAGCCCAGGAAGCTCCCAGGAGGCCCCAAGAGTGCCCCCAGAGGCTTCCAAGATGCCCTCTCCTCCTCCTCCTCCTCCTCCTCCTCCTCCTCCTCCTCCTCCTCCTCCTCCTCCTCCTCCTCCTCCTCCTCCTCCTCCTGATCTTCCCCACCATCCTCCCCCAAGTGTTTCCCGAAGGGTTGCTACAACGGCAGAGCGCTTGAAACAACGCTTGGCCACATGGGCAATTCCAAAAGGCAAAGGTCGGCGGTGATTCGCCGTAGGCGTCTTCGATGATGCCCACATAGTCCGAGCTCTCAGCAATCCCCTCTAAAAAAACTACTAAACACACACGCACGCGCACACGCACACGCACACACACACACACACACACACACACACACACACACACACACACACACACACACACACGCGCCATCGATCAAGCACGGAAGAGGACAGAGGTGACAGACGATCACGCAAAGGAGGAGAAGGAGGAGGAGCCAGACCCCCTTACGTCGCGGATCATCCGCCGGCCCCATTGCGGGGCCACCAGGCTGCGAGGGTGAAGATTGCGCACTCCCTGCTCCAGCCGCAGTTTCCAGTTTCCACTGTTACAGTCCTGTTTTCTGCGTCCTTACTGTTAATTGTTGCTGCCCGCGCGAGGGGCGGGAGCCCCAAACCGGATTTGTTACCACGCCCGCGGAGGTTTCTCTGAATTCCTGGGGGGGGGGTGTGGGACACATAAAAATACATTAGAGTCGCGTCCCCGAGGCCATAATCCCTAGTAAATTACGCCATATGTGCGTCCCCGAGGCCGTAAACCTTTGTGAAAATACTCGAGATTCGCGTCCCCGGGTCCATTAACCTTTGTAAATAGCGCGGTGGTTGCGTCCCCGAGGCCATAAACCCTGGTAAAGTATACAGTGTATGCGACCCCGACGCCGTATACTTTTGCAAAGTATACAAGATTCCCGTCTCCGAAGCGATAAGCCATCGTAAATTACTTTGTTCGCGCCCTCGAGGCCATGAACCATTGTAAATTACACAATAATCGCGTCCCCGAAACCATAAACCATAGAAAAGTGTAGAGCATTCGCAGTTGCGAAAAAATCCACAGTTTGTGAAGTCCCGACGTTGATTCACGTCAGCGTCCACACATCCCAACACGGCTCTGGCAAGTCCCACTCTAAGAGAGGGGGGCCGGCAGCAGGAGGCGAACCCCTCGCGGAAGATAAAAACAACGAGGCGTTGCGCCGTTTTCGGCCTCTGGGGGCCCTCGACGTGCCCCAGGGCCGTCAAAAACAAGTCAGAATCAAACATCGCTCCTCAACCAGGCGTCATGACATCCAGAGTCCGACGTTGCGGAAAAATGACGACGACGACGAATGTCTAGAAGGCTTCACCCTGACGCTCGAAACGCGAAGGGAAGATTGTTGGAGCTGTGTAGCCACTTCGGCAAGTCATTAGCAACGCGGCCAGGACCGGGCAAGACTCGCACAGCCTGGGCCTCCCGTAACAAAATTGCCCTCCTCCCGAGATCCGTGCTCTTTTCCTCCGTCGCTGCCTCCCGCCACACCTCCACCTTTCCCATGTCCTGCCCCTCCTCCTCCCCTTCTCTTCCTGCCCACCCGCCGGTTCCTCCATCTCCGCTTCCTCCCCCTCCTCCTCCTCGAGCCTCTTGCGCCTCCGCGGTGCCCGCGCCGAGCTGCGCGGGAGGTCCCTCGCCCTGGCCAGGCCCAGCCCCTTGTGCCGCACACACACACACACACACACACACACACACACACACACACACACACACACACGCACACGCACACGCACACACACACACACACACACACACACACGCACACACACACGCACACACACACACACGCACGCACACACACACACACACACACACACACACACACACACACACACACGCACACACACACACACACACACAGCAACTGCGGGAGGAAGAGGGAGAGAGGGGGGCGGGGCAAGAAAGAAGGCCGAGAAAGGCGGAGAGCCCGCTGCCGTCCGCACACTCATTCTTGAAGGGGCCCTGGGACACACAAATAAATAGACACGAATAACCGGATTCCCTATACGTTCTGGGTTTTTGTCTTCCCCCCTTCTTCCCAACTGTTCCCATATTTTCTGGGGAATCGACGATTAATTGTGTCTGTGTGCTCTTTCTCCTGAGTTCTGTCGCACAAACATCCAGCCCCCCCCCTCTGATCGCCGGCGCATTGGCTGAAGGCCGCTACAGCACGGAATTACGAGAATGTACGAGTCTCCCATGTGTTGCTATCGAGCGCGTCCTCTTCAGAGTACTCGAGGTTCAGCAGCATCTTCCCCGTCCCGACCCATGCCATCTGCACGCCCGCGTCGCGCAGGTAGTACTGGAAGAGGAAGTGGTAGGGGCTCGGCTGCTCGTAGAGTATGCACCACGTGTTGCGGTAGGCCGCCACCTCCCCAAATCGACGGTCCCCAGTACGTGCGTTAGCGCCAACGCGTGGTGGTCCACAGAGGCCCTCCAGCACGACGCAGGCGGAGCAACGAGGGCCAACACAGGCTGCGCGCTGCCGGCGGAGGCGACCGGGGTAAGCACACACTTGGGCTCACACCAGAGCTCCAGCGCCGTGGACCCCTGGAGGACTGGGCGGGCCCATCCCTACCAGAACTCATGTCACACCGAGCGTTTTCTCACTCGGCGTTTCGACATCTGCTTGATGCGATTGTTTGCAACTTCCTCTGGGGGAGAGACTCCACCTGCTCGAAACGGGCGCCGAAAACAGCCCAGATCCACTCCATGAGGGGGGGAGGGAGGGTATGCGAGGGTCCGCGCCGATGGGCAAAACCAAGAATAAAAAAAGTATCACCAGGGCGCCCTGGAGACAAGAAGGGTGCTTCTTGGCAGGGGCCCTCCGGAGACAAGAAGGGTGCTCCCTCCTCCTCCTCCTCCTCCCTCCTCCTCCTCCCTACCCCTCCTCCCCCCTCCTCCTCCTCCTCCCCTCCCTCCTCCTCCTCCTCTCCTCCTCCTCCTCCTCCTCCTCCTCCTCCTCCTCCTCCTCTCCTCCTCCTCCTCCTACTCCTCCTCCTCCTCCTCCTCCTCTTCCTGACTCATCGAGGCGCGCATCCGAGCACCTCACATCCGCCTGGCTGCCTATACTTCTGTAGAAATGGCTGCCACTCGAGCTCCTTCAGGGAGCAAGCCGGCTTCGAGCCTCCTGAGGGCACGAAGACCATGAGCCCCTGGCCTCTTACAGGGGACAAAAAGACTCTTCAACTGCCTGGCCGAAAATGCACCACATGCCATGCACGCGATCGACGGATTATTACACTGAGCCCACGAGGAGGGCTCCGTGTCAAGGGCCACCAACTTATGCGGCCGCCCACCACTGGCCTCAATCTTCCTTCAGGCTTCTGCAGCTCTGGACACAATGGACCCTGGGCATTGCGACTGCCCAGGCTCAGAAACTCGACAGCGGCGGCACCAGCGGCTGCCGTCAGGACCATACCAGTCATGCTCGAGAATCGGTCGCACGGGCCGAATCAGGCCAGACACGCGGGGCCGACTCGGAAACGACGAACGGCGATCGACGACACAATCCCGACTGTTCGTCGCGGCCCCAACGGTGCCAAGCCAGTGCGCGACACGCTCCACTAACGCAGACGACTTACGCCGCCTCTTCCTAACATCCTCGGGCACACGCATTCTAGCAGTAGAGTGCCTGGCCCACACATCAGCCTGAGAGTTACCAAATTTGTCACGCCTAGAAGCAAGCCCCGACTCCACGGCCTGAGAGGTCGAATGCGCTTTTATATTTCGCACCACCAGGCCGCTTTCGCCGAGGCCGCCGAAATCTTCAAGAAGCTTCCAAAAGACACGCCACAGGGAAGCCCAAGCACTACAATAAGCCGTGGCCCTCACAGGACCACGATCAGAAATACCCTCAAAGACGAAATTGCTGTCCGTGGCTGCCTCCATCGGAGGCACCGCCACTTTCAGCAACTGAATTAGCGCCGTCAACTCAGCCCCGCCCACGTCTCTAACGAGGCCCGCGCAAAGACCGCAAACCACATCAAGGATTCCGAGCGGTCCGACGCGAGCGTGACGATGGCCCAACCAGCCACGGAGCCAGCCGTCCAGTCGCCCTCAAACACGGACCCGTCCAGATACGACCCACGCGCTTGAATCACTCCTACACCCTCATGCCTGCTCCACACTATCTGCTGCTCACTAGGGGGCCTCCACCCTTCAGGCACCTGCGTTGTCGCCCGCAGACATCTCTCAAGCAGAAGCTCCACCTCTGGCTCCTCTGCGCGATCCGTCAGCACACAGAACTCGGGTGGCACAGGCAAACGGTCATCTCCTTCGCAGAAGAAGTGCCTGTGGATGAGCGCGCCCGTCGCGTCGCAGAAGAGGCAGCGGTCATTCTCCACATATCCCGCCTCAAACTTCCTGGACATCGGCCATTGCCCGTTCACGACAACTGATCTCAAGTAACCTCTTTGGGCGAAATCCAGTCGAGGCAGGTCGTTGCATTCCTCGGGAATGCAACGGCCCTTGGAAATCAGAGAACACATATGCTCCCAGACAGCGCCTTTCTCCAGATGCCCCAAGGAATCATCCAGAGAAACAAACATCCACTGCCAAGCCAAGATAGCCCTTTACAGCAACTGCGTAATACACCACGGACACACCTCCCTAACGTCGATCACGTCACCTTCGTGAGTCAGCCACATAAAAGGTTCCAACACCGTCCAACCAACACGCTCAAGAGACAGCCGAACAGCCCCACAAGGACCTTGAACCTGCGTCCAGTGCTTGATCCCTTGGCAGCCCGACATGGAGGTCTCCAGGACGCGCACAGGAACCCAGGACTCCCAGATGGTCCGCACGAAGGCTACAATCGGCAACAACGCAGCCCTGTATAGCGGACCAATCTTGCCATGGCACATGAAAGTGCAAGTCCTACTCCTGCCTGACGTTCGCGGTTCGATGGCGGAAAATGCCAGAACACGAGCAGACTCGAGTTCACCAGCACTGCAGCCCGTGACCGACATGCCATACGAATAACTCGCCTCAATGCCAGCACGAGCAATACGCGCTGCCACCAGACGTTTCTTGGTGCCCGTCCAGAACTTCTTCACCCGCCTGGCCTTCAACCGAGCTTGAGCCACCTTGGAGCTGCGGACATTGCGATGAATACGCCGTTCTGCCGTACAGTCAACTCCCAAATTCCTCTCATGCCGCACTGCAATAGCACCGGTGGTAAGCGACAGCTGACCAGCGACCAAGCCACGAGCCATGGCATCATTGGACAGGACTCGTGTTTTGTCGGAATGCACATGCAAGTCATATTCAGCAAGGATGCGCTGCAAATCCTTCGTGGCCTGAACAATCCCACGACACGCACGATCACGCCCACCCACGCGTCGCAGTAACAGATCATCGACCACAACCACTGGCATGACCGTGCGATGCAGTGCATGCACCTCGCCCAGGGGAAGGATGAGCGCTAACTTGAGCATCGTTGTCGCCCAGCCGCCCCCTGGAAGAACCGCTTGCTCAGCGACGATCCCCTCAGACACCACAGCCCCCAGGGCGAGGAACCTCTGCATGCGATAAAATTCCACTTGAAGCCCCAGCTGCCACAGAGGGAACCCAGTAGCCACAGCAGCTTGCAGGAGCCCATGATGCTGGACCTGCTCGAAGGCCTTCAGGAGATCCAGTAGAACCTAGGCCGAACACCAGAGCCCCGAACAAGACCTAACTTCCCGAGACCTGCGCGCGGCCCATTCGGACCAGGCCGTTTGTTGCCACACCGCACGTTCACAAGATCTCCCAGCTCGCGCCGAGACAACGCCAAGACAACGCCAAAGGGCGCCGTCAGCGAGCCTGTATTGTTGCTAAGACATGAATCAGAGCAACCGGACGAACTCCTCCAAGCCTCTTCTGAAGGAAGGCAATTTTGGCGCGGAACTTGGGCCACTGCGCAGAAGCCTCAATCGCCATGAGAAGATCAATAAGACACTCCAACGCCAGATCATCCAGCTCCAAAACCTGTCTCGGGCGCATGGAGTCAAACCCAAATCCGGACGTCTTCTTGAATGTCCGAAGAACCTTACGCAACAACTCGACGCTCGGCCTCGGCGGCCATGCACCCAGCTCATCGGACCAACTGACGTGCTGATGCCATTGCCCAACCTTCCACCAGCGGGACCACTCCCCTTGCAACAAGCACATCCCGCTCTGCTTGCGAACAGGAAGGTGCGCCCGTTCACGATCGGGAGCACACGGCGCCCAAGGCACTTTCTCACGCGTGATGGCGAAGAGACCTCCAGCACCTGATCCCGCTTGAGCAGCGACCCATTTCCGAAACTCGCCGACGCGGTGTTTCATATCATACTCTGCCAGCTGCGCCGCACAGTGCTTGACCGCACTAGCCAGAATCTGCAAAGCCCATGTCTCCAACTCGCCCCAAAAAAACAGGGAGAGCATGCACCACCGACGCCCAACGTCGCCGTCGGGTACTGAAGTAACTGCAGCAGGCGCCTTGCGGAGTAGCTTGTGCGCCGATGCAAGCGCACGCATACGAGTGAGAGGTCGCTGCCAACATCCAGCAAAGCTAAGAGCGGGCCCAATACTTCGAAGCCAAAGCACTGCAGGCGACACACGGGGGAACTTGGGAGGCAACTTGGGCAGCGCATCCACCCATTTCGGCTCCACCTTGCGATCGCACCCACACATTTTTGGAACCATATCGGGCGGCACCTGATATACATCTACCCATTGTCGTTCAGCAGCTGACACGAAGGCCCCCCATCCCTTCGACAAGAGCTCCTGCTATGCCTGACCCGTCGGCATGAGCTGTCGAACTGTGGCCCACATGTTCTCAGTATACAAGCGCGGGCATCCAGTAGGCCGCCCTTCTGGAAACAGTCGAGGGACAGGCATGACTCGCATCTTGGGCCTACCAACGGGAGCAGCGACCTGCAAGCAGACCGCCGAATGAGGGCTGAGTGGCATCTCGGAATGCACCTGGGCACCCAGCGCCTCAAGCCCATCTGAGACCAGAAAGGAAGCAATCTTTCGACCCGCGGGGGCATATGTCCCGACACCAGGAGCAACAATGATCGCCTCGAACCAATCCATCACCCCCGCGGCCCGCAAGTCGCCGGGCTCATTGTTGAAATCCCCCGCGATCACATAGGGCCGAACAATCATACGCACTCGCTCTGCCACCAAGAACAGGATCTCCAGATTGGCAGCTGCCATGCCAATCTTGTCGCACAGGTAAACGCTCACGAGGACAACCCCCGCCTTCGAGAAACCTGAGTGCAAGCAGCAAGCCGCACGCCCAGGTACGATGACACCGTCAACCCCTTCGATCACTCCAAGCCCATGATGCTGCGCACAACTACAGAGCAGACCACCACTTCCTGAACCTCGACGCCCATCGATGCACTCCACTGCTGGAGAAAATAGACAGTTCCAACCCAACATGCGTAATCTGCGCGACTCTTCCTCACATTCACGCACAATCAGATGCGTTTCTTGAACCATGGTGGCGCCAGCCTGCTCGAATAGCAGCCTCCTCGCGTCAACACCCTCGGTCGGCAACAGGTCTGCAAACGTGGAGAAGATATTCACGTTCATGATGAGCAACCCCCAGATCCTCGGGTCAGAAATGAGACCTCCCGTCAACAAGTGCACCTGCAGAGCGCAATGTCTTGTTAGCCTCTTCCTGCAGCTCCTGAATGAGACGCTTCTTGTCGGCATCCGAGATCGGGCAATCAGGCGACAGACTCACCATGTTGTCCCACTCGGCGTCGGACAGTCCGCGGATCTGCACATCGTCGGGCACTGGGAGACATCCCCCTCTAAGATCAACGACGCTCGCCACGCCGCCTCCAGAGGCCGCAGCACTCTCAACAACTCCCCCGCCTCCTGCCGCCACTCCAGTTGCAGCCGCAGAAGCCCCAGCCGCCGCCGCACCGCCAGCACCATCAAGATGGGCCGTGAGCGCCTGCAGCAGCGCGGTGAGCGGCTCCGCCAGGGCCGCGCCGACCTGCTGCTGCCAGCCTGGGTGACCGTTGAGGACCTTCGCCACGTGCGAGGCCGCCGACGCCGCCGACTCAGCGGCCGCTGGCGGGGCAGGGGGAACTCGAGCCGTTTTGGCCTTGGCTCCCTCCACCATCTGCTTAAGCTCCTGCTCCAACTTGCCCACCAGGGCCCTGGATGATGCATATTGCTCGGTGGCCTTCTGAATGGCCACCTTAGCCGTGTCAAAGGAAGAACGGGCACGCTGCAGTTCAATGGCCTTGCCGTCAATCGCCTGCTGCACGTCCTTGGCCTCTTTGACTGAGACCAGACCTTCAAACCCATTCTCACGCTTCCAACGCAAGTGCTTAAGCTTGTCACGGGCTGATTGAGAGAGAACAGCTACGGCCGCGTCGAACTGAGCAGCAGACATCTCCAACCAGACTTTAGCCTGCTCCACATCAATAGGCTGTTGATGCTGCTGCTGCTGCTGTCCACCGCCGCCTGAGCCCTTGCCCCACCCGTTGCTACCAGCCTTGCGCCGAGGGGGGCTCGAACACAGCAGGAGGAGGGAAAGCCCAAGCACCACGAGGACCGCGCCAGGGCGGAGGCGTAGGCACCAGGGACGCCCCTTTGGGCCCTTGCCCATTGCATCCCGCCTTGCGGCAACGCGATCGAAAGCCATAGTTGTGATAGCCGCACTTCCCGCAGTCCCAGCCAGGCATCGCGTAGCCGAGACCGAACCGACCTGACGGCGCGGCAGGCGCGCGCGGGTCAGGAGAGAAAACAGTGGGGGCCGTCCCTCCCCCTTGCCACTAAGGCCAAGTCATGAGCCGATGGCTACGGACTTGAGCCAAAATGGCTACGGACTCCTCCTCCTCCTCCTCCTCCTCCTCCTCCTCCTCCTCCTCCTCCTCCTCCTCCTCCCTCTCCTCCTCCCTCTCCTCCTCCTGCTCCTCCTCCTCCTCCTCCTCCTCCTCCTCCTCCTCATCCTTATCCTCCTCCTCCTCACGTACGCAGCGCGTGTTTGGCACGTGGGCCCCCAGAAGTCTGGCCCTGCTGCCAGCGACCGGCTAACCCCAAGCCGCATCCTAACGGCGCCGAGGGGGGGGGGGGGCGGCGGAGGCCCCCCTGGGCTCTCCCTATCCGCAGCCTGCCCAGCCTGCCAGGAGGAGGAGGAGGAGGAGGAGGAAGGAGGAGGAGGAGGAGGAGGGGGAGGAGGATTCGGAGGAAAGGAAGGAGTAGGATGAGGAGGAGGGGGAACGATGGGGGCGGGGACCTGCTTTCAGAGGGAGAAACATCGAGCTGGTGTCAATGATGCGTCACCGACCCCAGTGGCGAATCTGCACGCTCTTTGGCGGGGTGGGCCTATCGGGGCCCCACATCGACGACTATCCCGCCAAAGCGTTGGCCCTGACCTCTGCACTGACCGGAGGACCTGGAGCCTCCCCGGTGCCTTGATGGGCAGCGACTGGTCGCTCAGGGCCTTGTTGCTCTTCTGCACCCACCTGGCGGATCCCGAAGGGAGGCGAGAGGATCAGAAAGAGCAGAGGAGGAGAAGGAGGAGGAGGAGGAGCGAAGGAGAGGAGGAGGAGGAGGAAAGAGAGAGAGAGAGAGAGTGAGGGGCGGCAGAAGAGGAGGGCGGCAATAATAGGGGACAACAAGAAAAAAGGATGAGGGGGAGGAGGATGAGGAGGGGAATAATGAGGACGAAGCGGAGAACGAGGAGGAGGCGGACGACGACGACGATGGGATTAAGGCGACGATGAAACAAAGGAAACGAGCACAAAGAAGGAGGACGAGAACATGAGGAGGAGCGGACGAAGACGATAGAAGGAGGGCGACGACAAGGAGGAATGGAGGAGGAAGAGTTCGATCTTCGGGGGCCTCTGGCGGCCTCTGAAAAATTCGAGAGGCATCCAGGACGTCCCGAAAATGAGCGGCGATCGCTTCCATCGAACCCCCCTTGAATCAGGCCAAGATGGTCAAAGATGCCCACAAAAGGCCGAAGAAGCCCTTAACCGACTCCAAGATGACCTAAGAGGCGCCTGGACAACCCCAGGTGGCCCCCAGGAGTCCCCCAAGATGACTCCGCAGGCTTCTCGGGAGCCTTCAGAAGGAGCCCCCATAAGGAGCCTCGAAGGAGCCTCCATCCATATAAGCCTCCATAAAGAATCCCCATAAAGAGCCTATAAGGAACCCCTGGAGCCTCCGCAAACAAGGAGCTTCCATAAGGAGCCTCTAGGAATCTCGCAGGAACCTCTCAGGAGCCTCTCAGGAGCCCCCATAAGAAGCCTCCAAGAAGCCTACACAAGGCACCTCTGAGGAGCCTGCGTAAGGAACCTCTCGAAGCCTCCATAAGCAACCTCTAGGGAGCCTCCACGAAAAGCCTCTAGTAAGGAACCTCTGCGGAACCTCTAAGGAGCCTCTAAGGAGCGTCCATCAGAAACATGCTCTAAGGAACTTCTAAGGAGCCTCAAAAAGGAGCCTAGAAGGAGGCTAGAAGGAGCCTCTAAGAAACCTCTACGAAACTTCTTCTCAGGAGCCTCCATAAGGAGCCTCTAAGGAGCATCCAGAAGGACCCTTTCAAAACGTCGACAAAGCTGAAAAAACGGTCGTTATTGGTCCCGGTTGGTTGGGATTGGGACCGAAATTGTTGAAATTCGTTCCGATTGGTTGAACTTTTTCCAACTTTTCAGGTTCGAGCCCCCCCATCCCTCCAGAGCCTGCGCCAGCGCCAGCGGCGGCCCCCCTCCCCGCCCCCCTCCCCGCCCCCGGCTGGCGCCGGCGCCAGCGGCGGCTGTCGGCGGCGGCGGAGAGCATCGACGAGGACGATTCACAGGGGGGGAAAGGAGGTTCGAACCGACCTCCCCTTCCTCCAGGCCGGCGCCGCCATCGGCGCAGGCGACGACGACGAAGGCGCCGACGACGACGGCAGCGACGAAGACGGCGGCGACGACGATGCCGATGACGACGACGACGAGAACGACGACGACGACGACGACGACGGCGACAACGACGACGGCAACGACGGCGACGACGACGACAACGGCGACGGCGACGACCACGACGGTCACGACGACGACGACGACGACGACGACGGCGACGACGACGACGATGACAAGCATAACGACCACGACGGCGACGAGGACGACGAAGTCGAAAACGACGACGACGACGACGACGACGACGACGGGTGCGGCGGCGTCGACGACGACGACGACGACGACGGCGACGACGGCGACGACGACGACGACGGCGACGACGACGACAATGACAACGAGCACGACGACGACGACGGCGACGACGACGACAATGACAACGAGCACGACGACGACGACAACGACGACGCCCCTCACAACGACGACGTCGACGACGACGACCACGTCGACGACGACGGAACACAACGACGACGACGACGACGACGACGACGACGACGACGACGACGACTGCGGCGACGACGACGACGACGACAAGAACAACGACGTTGACGACGACGACGACAACGGCGGCGACAACGACGGCGACAACGACGACAACGACGACGAGCACGAGGACGACGACGACGACGATTGCGACGATGGCGACGACGACGGCGACGACCACGACAACGGCGACGACGGCGACGACAGCAACAGCGACGACGGCGACGACGGCGACGACGACTGCGATCACGGCGACGACGACAACGGCGACGACGACGACGACGACGACGAGAACGACGACGACGACGACGACGACGACGACCCCGACGACGACGTCGACGACGACGACCACGACCACGACGGAGACGACGGCGACAACGACGACGGCGGCGACGACGACGACGACCGACGAGGACGACGACGAGGAAGGCGACGTCGACGTCGACGACGACGACGACTACGACGACAACGACGACGACGACGGAGACGACGACGACGAAGACGACGAGCACGACGACGACGACAGCGACAACGACAACGAAGACGGCGACGACGAGCACGACGGCGACGACGACGACGGCGACGACGACGACGATGCCAACGACAGCGACCATGGCGAGCGACACCGACGACGACGACGATGGAGACGACGGCGACGACAGCGTCGACGACAACGACGACAACGACGGCGCCCGACGGCGACGTCGTGACCTTGAAGACGAAGAAGCGGCCGGCGACGACGACGACGACAAAGGCAACTACGGCGACGACAGCGACGACGACGAAGACGACGACGGCGGCGACGACGGCGACGGCGACGACGACCACGGCGGCGGCGACGGAGACGGTGTCGACGACGACGCCGACGACAACGACGACGGGGACGGCGACGGCGACGACGACGGCGACCACGACGGAAACGACGACGACGACGACGTCGACGACGGCAACGATGGCGACGCCGACATCGACGACGAAATGCATGACACCGATGACGACGACGATAACGACGACCACGACGACGAACGAGGACGACGGCGACGACGACGACGGCGATGACGACAAGGGCGACGACGGCGACGACGACGACGACGACGACGGCGACGACGGCGACGACGACGACGGCGACGACGGCGACGACGACGACGGCGACGACGCCGACGACGATGGCGCAATGATCACGACGAAAACGACAACGACGACAACGATGGCGACGACGACGACGGCAGCGACAACGACGACGACGACGACGACGACGACGCCGGCGACGACGACGACGACGACGACGGCGGCGACGACGTCGACGACGATGACGATGACGGCGTCAACGACGATGACGACGACAACGACAGCGACGACGGTAACGACGACGACGACGACGATGACGACGACGAGCAGAACGACGACGACGACAACGACGATGACGACGACGACGCCGACGGCGACGACGTCGACGGAAACCGCGGGAGGCACCCGACGCAACTCGAAGAATATCAATATTGGAGACACTCGACGCGGGAGGCAAGCGATTCAACGGGAATTTTCGGGCCCGTCAATAGTCCGACACTCAGGCCCGAGGACCGAGGACTTCAAGGGACCGTGTCGTCGTCGTCGTGATCATTCCGAGGGGTCGTCGTCGAGGGACCGTGTCGTGTCGTCGTCGTCGTCGTCGATCGAGGGGGGGGGGGGGGGGCGAGACGACCCTGAGCGACTTCCTGAGAAGGAGCGCCGCACGATCAGGCAACAGCGTTCAGGATCCACCAAGCAACAGTGCACCCGCGCCTGCGGGCCGAATGGGAAGGAGTCCTGAGGTGTGGGCGAGCCAGCAGGCGCCCTCCCCCTGTCTGTCCCAGTCCGTGTCTGCGGGACGAGCGAGAAGGAATCCCACTCGGGACGAGACAGCAAGCTCCCCCACGCGATGGGCTGCCGAAGACATGCAAAGCGTAACGAATCCGTAAGCTGCTCGACGCGCTGATGTCATATTCCCGCACCCAAAGGCTCAAACACATTCAATTGAATTCAGTCCTGATGAGCAGCTACGCGTAGCTGCTGCCGCTGCCGCTGCCGCTGCCGCTGCCGCCGAAACTGCTGCCGCTGCTACCGCAACATCCTCTCACCGATCGCGCGGGCAGCTGGCCTGGCGACGCGGTCCCTCAGGCCATTGAAAACGGCCGGGGCCTCCGGGGAGGTCACCTGGGCGAGAAGGGATCAGAAAGACACCTTCCTCCTCGTCCTCATCCTCCCGACCCTCTGACTCCTCCAGGTTCTCCAGCTTCTCGTCCTCCTCCTCAAAATCCTCCTCCTCCTCCTCCTGGCCCTCGTCCTCCTGCTCCTCCTCCTCCGCCTCCTCCTCCTCCCAGCTTCTCCTCCCTCCTCGTTAGGCTCGTGCTACGTACTCATAACCCCTACCCAACATCCCCCTACCTTGTCCTGCACCACCACTGCATCTGACTCGTACCCTCCACCTCCTACTCCTACTCAAGCTCCTCCTCCTCCTCCTCCACCCTTTCATCCTCCCCCTCCTCCTCCTCCTCCTCCTCTGAATCCTCCCCCTCCCCCCTCCTCCTCCTCCTCCTCCTTCTCCTCCTCCTCCTTTTCCTCCTCCTCCTTCATTCCCAACTGCTACGACCACAACTACCACTACAACTACTACATCTACAACGACTACTGCTACTGCTGCTCCTGCTACAGCTACGACTACTACTATTACTACTACTACTACTACTACTACTACTACTACTACTACTACTACTACTACTACTACTACTACTACTAACTACTACTACTACTACTACTACTACTACTAACTACTACTACAACTATAACTATATAGATACGAAACAACTACTACTACTACAACTACATACTAATACTACAACCACTACAACGACTACTACAACACTACTAACAAATACAACTACTACTACGAACTACTACTATCTACTACTACAACTACTACTATAACAAATAAACTACAACTACGACAACGACTAACTACTACTACTACTAACACTACTACTACTAACTACTACTAACGACTACGTACTACACTACTACCACCACTACTACTTACTACTAACTACTACTACAACAACTACTAACTACTACGACTAGAACGACGACTACGCTACGGACTACTACTACGACTACGACTACCGATCACTACTACTACTACTACTACTACTACTAACTACTACTACTACACTACTA